CTTTGCATGTGTTTGATTTTAAATTTTGTTGTTTTTAGTAAATAGGTGTAGAGTTGACACAGAAGATCGTGCATTTCTTTAGTTTTCTTTATACATCTTTTAGGCCAGGAACTGGGGGATGAAACACACTTTGGGGGGGCTCACCGAGGAGGCACTGGGAGTAGATTCTCCTACCGTGGGACCCTGTAGGGCCCCTGGTCCTGCCCCGGCCCGATGCACACCCCTGGGACTGAGCTGCGACCCAGTGGAAGTGCTGCCCCGCTGCTCCGTCAGTGACCCGGGACGAACCTTCCAGTCTGGCTCCACGCAGCTCTGGGAACCTGCACTCAGGCCAGCAAAGCATGAGTTTCAGGGACAGGCCCACCCTTTCCTGTTTCTCAGGCTTGTGGTTACGACGAGCTGGCTGCTCCCCAGCTGTGACCTTGCTCGGGCAGCCCCCCGTGGGTGGCAGCTTCCCACAGGGCTCAGGGGTGCGGGAAACTTTGAAAGAGAGTCAGAGTTTACCAGGTAGTCCTCTTCATTTATCAACATTGAACAAAAATTGAAACCACATTCACGTCTAAATTTTGCAGGCTGGGGGACCGAGGGGAAAGGGACCCTCTGACCTGATGCTCAGAAGAGGCAGACAGGGGATGTGGAGAGACGGGGTCTGTCCCGTGTGCTGAATCCCGTGACCGAGAGAAGAGGAGCTGGTATTCACAGAGGACCCCACTCCGCACCGACTGGGCTCCTCAACCTGGCACGTTCATGGGGTCCCAGAGCCAGGAGCACATTTAAAGTCATACTCCAAATTCAAACACCTTGGCCACGGTTAACTAGACATTCTCCCCAGTGTATTTGAAGAATATTACCATCTGGTCAAACTGTTCTTGTTAAGAGGGTTCTCTAATTAGACAGTATTAGGAATGTATTTTCAAACCGTTTTCTCAGTGGGCAGCATTAGTAACAAATAGTCTTTCTACTGAACCACAGGATCACGCCTTCATAGAGCTGTGTAAGAGCCTAGAAATGCCTTTTTCTTCCAGCACTTTCCTAGAACTCCCAGCAACAGCCGGCACGGTTGAGAGCACAGCTTCCCTGACGCGTGGTGCCCCAGGGCCCGTGTCCGGGTCCTCTGATCCTGTGGCTTCACCTGGAAGCCCTGCTCTCCTCCCATCCAGGGTCTGCAGGCTCGGGGTCGGCCCCCTCCCCCACCTCCAGGGGTGTCATCTGATTTATTTCCTCAGCCGCGGACTTACATAGCCACGCTCCCTCTGTGTCTGCAGGGATCCTGCTACCCTTCCAGCAAATAATGGATCAAAGGACAGCTTTACGTCCTTGAGGACTCAGGCTAAGAGAAATGAGGCCTTGCTCTGTGCTATGCATGGAAAGCTTGATATTAAACACATCGTGGGCGGTCAGTTGGGAGGTGGAGTCCCACCACCTTCACTTCCTATGCGGGTAATGTATTCCGCTGACTTTGAACTGACTACACCCAAACCACACGTTTGTAAATATTTAGCTGTCTTCTAACTTTATGAAATCATAAAGCTAGCCAGAGTGTTGGGAAGTGTGGTCCGCGTGTGCCCCTTTAAGGCGGGGAGGCAGTTTAGAATCAATCGCTGTTCTCTGAGAAGGAGTGGCAGGGTCAGGGTGGCTGTGGGGGGCCAGGACCCCACCCGCTGACCGCCCTGGACTAGGTGAGGTGGCAGGACTTGCTGGGTCGGCCGAGGGTGGGGGTCTCCCCAAGACTGCCTTAGGAGCTGGCATTCCTCCGGTTAGAGAAACAGGAAAGGAGCACCTTTTTAGAGTCACAAGGATGACACACTCAAGCCAACTTCTGAGTAAGAATTTGGTAAAACCCAGCTGGGGATGGGATGACGGAATGATTAGTTCACTAGTCTCTGCTGTTGGTGCTTTTGATTATCTTTCTTCACCAAACAAATGCTTTTAACTTCTTACTTTTCTGCCACTGTGGTTAATTGTTCATTCCATGTTTAGTGTAGTTTGAAGTTTATGAATAAATGCATTTCTGTTTGCACACAGGTGTAGATGTCATAGTTTCAGTTGTCCTTTTAAGCCTGCCCCCTCCCCCAAGCGCTTGCCCTGGGACAATCACTGATGTCCTCTGTTGCTGTTGTTCGGTCCCTAAGTCATGTACACTCTTTGTGACCTCATGGATTGCAGCACACTAGGCTTCCCTGTCCTTCAGTATCTCCTGGAGCTCGCTCAAACTCATGTCCATTGAGTCAGTGATGCCATCCAACCATCTCATCCTCTGTTGTCCCCCTTTCCTCCTGCCCTCAATGTTTCCCAGCATCAGGGTCTTTTCCAATAAGTTGGCTCTTTTTGAATCAGGTGGCCAAAATATTGGAGTTTCAGCTTTATCATCAGTCCTTCCAATGAATATTCAGGGTTGATTTCCTTTAGGATAGTCTGGTTTGATCTCCTTGCAGTCCAAGGGATTCTCAAGAGTCTTCTCCAGCACCACATTTGAAAGCATCATTTCTTCAGTGCTCAGCTTTCTTTATGGTCTAACTCTCACATCCATACATGACTACTGGAAAAACCATATCTTTGTTGGCAAAGTAATGTCTTTTGCTTTTTAATATACTGTCTAGGTTGGTCATAGCTTTTCTTTCAAGGAACAAACATCTTTTAATTTCATTGTTGCAGTCACCATCAGCAGTGATTTTGGAGCCCAAGAAAATAAAGTCTGTCACTGTTTCCATTGTTTCACCTTCTATTTGCCGTGAAGTGATGGGACCAGATGCCATGATCTTAGTTTTTTGAATGCTGAGTTTTAACCTAGCTTTTCATTCTCCTCTTTCATCCTCATCAAGAGGCTCTTTAGTTCTTCTTCACTTTGTGCCATAAGTGTGGTATCATCTGCATATCTGAGGTTACTGATATGCCTCCTGGCAATCTTGATCCCAGCTTGTGCTTCCTCCAGCCCAGCGTTTCTCATGATGTCCTCTGCATGGAAGCTAAATAAGCAGGGTGACGATACACAACCTTGACGTGCTCCTCCCCGATTTTGAATCATGTAGGTTCTTCCATGTCCGGTTCTAACTGTCGCTTCTTGACCTGCACACAGGTTTCTCAGGAGGCAGGTCAGGTGGTCTGGTGTTCCCATCTCCTTAAGAATTTTCTACAGTTTGTTGATATCCAAACAAAGATTTTAGAATGGTTAGTGAAGCAGAAGTAGATGGTTTTCTGGAATTCCCTTGTTTTCTCCACGATCCAAGAGATGTTGGCAATTTGATCTCTGGTTCCTCTGCCTTTTCTAAAACCATCTTGAACATCTGGAAGGTCTCAGTTCATGTACTATTGAAGCCTTGCTTGAAGGATTTTGAGCATGTCCTTGCTAGCATGTTAAATGAGCACAATTCTGTGGTAGTTTGAGCATTCTTTGAGATTGCTCTTTAGGATTGGAATGAAAACTGACCTTTTCCAGTACTGTGGCCACTGCTGAGTTTTCCAAATTTGTTGGCATACTGAGTGCAGCACTTTCACAGCATCATCTTTCAGGATTTGAAATAGCTCAGCTGGAATTCCATCACCTCCACTAGCTTTGTTTGTAGTAATGCTTCCTAAGGCCCACTTGACTTCACATTCCAGGATGTTTAACTTTAGGTGAGTGACCACACCATCATGGTCTTTATGATTATCCAGGTCATTATGGCCTTTTACGTAAAGTTCTTCTGTGTGTTCTTGCCATCTCTTCTTAATATCTTCTGCTTCTGTTAGGTCTTTGTGGTTTCTGTCCTTTTTTGTGCCTATCCTTGCCTGAAACGTTCCCTTGAAATCTCCAGTTCTCTTGAAGAGATCTCGAATCTTTCCCATTTTGTTGTTTTCCTCTATTTCTTCACATTATTCACTTGAGAAGGCTTTCCTATCTCTCCTTGTTCTTTGGAACTCTGCATCCAGTTGGGTTTGTCTTTCCCTTCCTCCTTTGCCTTTCACTTCTCTTTCTTTCCTCAGCTGTTTGTAAGGCCTCCTCAGACAACCACTTTGCCTTCTTTGGGGATGGTTTTGATCACCACCTCCTCTACGTTACAAATCCTCATCTATAGTTCTTCAGGCACCCTGTCTATCAGATCTAATCCCTTGAATCTATTTGTCACATCCAGTGTATAATCATAAGGGATTCAATTTAGGTCATACCTGAATGGCCTAGTGGTTTTCCCTACTTTCTTCAATTTAAGTCTGAATTTGGCAATAAGGAAGGAGCTCGTGATCTGAGCCACAGTCAGCTCCCTGTATTGTTTTTGCTGACTGTGTAGAGCTTCTCCATCTTCAGCTGCAAAGAATATAATCAATCTGATTTGGGTTTTGACTGCCTGGTAATGTCCACGAGTAGAGTCGTCTCTTGTGTTGTTGGAAGAACATGTTTGCTATGACCGGTGTGTTCGCTTGACAAGTCCCTGTTAGCCTTTGCCCTGCTTCATTCTGTACTCAAGGCCCCACTCGCCTGTTACTCTGAGTCAGCCTTAATCCTCATTTTGATAAAGGTCCAGGTTTGCTTAAAACAGAGCGGAAAGACCATCAGCTGAGGGTGGTTTCAGAGGACGCCCTGTGTTTGGGGGAGCTTGGTTGCTCGGGTTTAGCTCTGCTTTCTGCTGCCATGAGGTGCGGCGGTGGTGGACACGCCGTCCTGGAGGCCTGGTTTCTCCCCGAGTCTGCACACAGCCTGGCCGAGAGCCGCAGGAGTCTCCGTGGCTGAAAGCCCACAGCCTGAAGGCAGGAAACGCGTCCAGCCGTCCCCTGCCTGGGGTGTCCGGGGGCAGGGCCAGCGCCCCACTCTAGGGTGGCATCCCTTGTCTCCGGTGGCCCAGACTCGGCCCGCTGGGGGTGTTGGGAAAGCCGCCCCTTCAGCCCGGCAGACGGAGGGTCCGTTCCAGATGTTGGGCAGTGCCCCTCATGCTGAGTGCAGAACGGGGGCCCTCAGTTTCCCATGGAGACGCTCCTGAGCACACCCGCGGTCACGGGGCCAGCCGGAGTCCCATCTGCATGGCCCGATGGTCTGTGAGTCGAGTGTCTGCTCTCCACCGCCAAGGAGAGCCTGCGTGTGGCTGCTCTGTCCTCCGTGGGAGCTTGGCGGACACCGCCATGGCCTGTCTGTGAGTCAGCTTTGTAGGCACCACACAGGCCGAGCTGGACTGTCTTGAGGGGGGATCCCATGCTGCAGTGGGGGGCGGCCTGCACCCCCTCCCTGCCCACCAACCTTCTGCTCCCTCCTCAGAATGCTGAAGGCTCACCTGGGGGCCGACAAGCCAGCGGAGACGGAGCCGAGCTGCCCAGAGGATGGCGGGGCCGGGCCCCACCCTGACACAGCGGCTGGGTGCCCCCAGAGGACAGCAGGGCTGAGGACATGCTGGTGAGCGGGGCACAGTCCCGGGGGTGCGGGCCTGTGGGGTGCAGACACAGGGGTTATAGCCCTGGAGGATGCAGGCTTGGGAGTGTGCAAGCCTCGGAGGTGCAGGTCCAGGGGGTGCAAAAACCTCAGAGGTACAGGTCCAAGGGATGCAGGCCTGGGGGGCGGTGCTGGCCTGGGTGGATAAATGGGGGTGCAACCTAGGGGGTACAGCCCTGGAGGGGTGCAGGCCTGGAGGATGCAGGCTCAGGGGGGTGCACACCTGGGGGTGAAGGTCCAAGGGATGCAGACATGTGGGGTGCTGACCCAGTGGGTATAGCCCTGGAGGGGTGCAGTTCTGGAGGATGCAACAGGGGGTGTGCAAACCTTGGGGGTGCAGGTGCAGGGGTGCATACCCAGGGGGTACAGGCCTGGGTGTGCAGTCCTGGAGGGGTGCAGGCCTGGGTGTGTAAATGGGGGTGCAGACCCAGGGGGTGCAGGCCTGGGAGGCTCCATCCTGGTGTTGACCCTCTCTTACCTGTCCTTGCCCGACTGTGTCCAGGGGACCCAACTCTGGAATGCCCCTGCTCCTCACCCTCCCTTCGTGAACTTCAGGTTCTGTGTGGGGGAAGTAACCAGGGTCTGGAGGACAGGGAACCATGCCCAGGCTTCTGGGGCCTTGTCAGCCCACCCCTGTGCCCAGAAGCTCTGTGGCATCAGCCTTCATGAACTTGGTGTTTTTAGAATAATTCCTGCAGGTGAGGAGAAGAAGAATACGAATTTAGTTCACAATGGAAATGCAATGACTTTCCCACTGTTTCTAGAAGAAAATGAGAGAATGATATAATTACTAGTTTCCTCTCAAATTGTGTTATTTTTTCTTTTTAATAGTTAATTTGCAAGTGTGATGTTTATTTTTTGGAGGTAATCTCTATAAAAGGAAAATATCTTTCTCAAGTTCTAGAGTTTTTTAAACTTAATTTTTCTCTCTTCTAAGTCACTCTACTAAACTGTTTCTAAAGTAGGCAAATTAATACCTTCTTTTCTGAAAACAGCTTTTATTCTTATATACAAAGAACATTTCCTTTGTTATGCCCAACAGCTTATAGTTCTTTCTTAAAAAGATAATTTCCATCCACTTTTACAAAAGCATATTTATTTCTTTACTTATCTATTCTTGTTTTTGCTGTGCATGGGCTTTCTCTGGCTGTGAAGAGCAGGGCCTACTCTCTAGTTGCAGTCCACGGGCTTCTCGCCGCGAATGCGTCTATCGCAGCAGAGCCCAGGCCCTGGGGTGCTCAGCCTTCAGCAGCTGTGGCGCGTGGGCTCAGCAGTTGTGACTCACGGGCTCTAGAGTGCAGGCCCAGCAGTGGTGGTGCTTGGGCTTAGTTGCCCTCTAGCATGAGGGGTCTCCCTGGACCAGGGATTGATGCAGCATCCACTGCACAGCAAGGCGGATTTGTAACCACCAGACCTCCAGGCAAGCCCCTTATATTTCTAATTTTGAAGTCTGTTTGTATCTTAGCATGGAAAGCTGGACATAACTGAGTGAAGAAGTGCAAAGCAACAACTCACATCAATTCCCCGTGTTTCATTCTCCGCACTGAGTGTTCTGTGCGCAGGTTTCCCCTCTCAAAGCAATGGCCTGAGGGCACTTTGTATCATCATGTTAGAGGAGCAGAAGCTGAGGCCCAGAGAGGTTAAGTGCCTTTCCTGAAGTCACACAGCAAGGAAGGTGGGGCAGCCAAGGTCACAGTCTGGGTCTGAATCCCTTCAACGCTCACGCTGTCCAGTCCAGGCTGTCCTGACCCCTCAGGATAAGATGAGGTGGGAAGAAGCGAGACCCCTTTCAGCCTTCTTCTGCCCCAGTAGTGTTTTAGCAGGAAGGATAAGCCTCCTGAGCTGGTAGTGTCACGTGGACGTGACTTGGCGGAGACGGACAGAGGTCTCCTGGCTGCATCGCGCCCAGCGGCCGCGGGCTCCTGACAGTGGTCCTTGTTTTCTCCCGGCGCAGCGGCTGCAGCAAGAGGTCTCGGGGCTCCGAGAGGAGTTCAGGAGGCAGGAGGCCCTCTGGGCAGCCACGCACCGTGAGCTCCGGGCCCAGATGGACGCGCTGGTGAAGCAGAACCTGGAGCTGTGGGCTGGGCCTCTGGCCTCGGAGAGGCGGCGCCTGGAGGCCAAGCGGAGCGCGGCAGGCTCGGTGCACGTGAGAAGATGCTCAGACACTCAGGTACCGGGGCCTCTGTTTGCTGGCCCAGAGCATCTCCCCCAGAGCTGCGTGTTTGGCACTGGGCGGCCGTGGCACTTCCCATGCAGGAGACAGGGGGCTTGCCTCCTCTGGCCAACTCCACACCCCATGAGCAACCAGTTCAGTTGGGAGGGGACAGGGCGTTCACGGGGGCCCCGCGCATCTGTCTGCAAAGACATCTGCTAACACCAAGCAACAGCACGTGGGATGCTGCCCGGGTTTACGGGGGCGGTCTGTGCTTTCTGCCCCTATTGACCCCTGCCATGACCCCTGAGGTGGGTCTGTCCTACCCCAGGGATAGTCACGTGGCTGGGGAGCCCAGAGTCTAGACTCGGACCAGCTCGCTGATTCCAGAAGCAGCCCATGGGCCTCAGGGCCGCTCTGTCCATGCCGTGGGACCGCTTAATGGAGAGGTGGGAAAGTGACCACCCTGCTTCCCTGCACGCAGCGCCCGGCTTCCACGTGCGGGTGGCACGACTGAGCATAGGCTGCAGAGATGGTGGGGTGGCCAGGACTTGTTGCTGTGTTGGCAAGTACATCTAAAGAACTGGACCCTTCGAGCTGTACTTGCAGGAGTCAGCAAGAAACCATGTAAACACCTCGAAATGTAACTGGGGGTTTCCTCTAGCAGATTAAGGGAAGCGCCAACACTTCTTGTCTGCACGCACTGTGTGCTTCTGAGTCTGTAGTTCAAGGACTTGAAACTGAAAAATGAAGTTGCTCAGTCGTGTCGACTCTCTGTGACCCCAGGGACTATACAGTCCTTGGAATTCTCCAGGCCAGAATACCGGAGTGGGGAGACAGTCCCTTCTCAGGGGATCTTCCCAGCCCAGAGATCGATCCAGGGTCTCCCACTTTGCAGGCGACTTCTTTACCAGCTGGGCCCCCAGGGAAGCCCAAGGACTTGGGGTATCTCTGATATGACGGCTGGCCCTCCCTCTCTCATCTCCCTTTCTCATCTCTGTCTCTCATTTTGAGCTCTTGTACTTGGCAGGCTTCCAAACACCCCTTAGGTCTATGCACAATCCCCGTCACAGGGTCCTGGGGTTACTTAGAGGGACCAGGCCAGGCCTCCAAAGTACACACCTGATCTGAAGGGAACAGACACACATGTGAAATGCACACCTTAGGTGCACACAGGTGCATCTGTGTGCAGACACGACTTCAGGGACAGAAGATCAGAAGGTCAGCAACCTCAAGGTCAGTGACCAGTCACGAGCACACTGGACCAGCCCCCCTCACCTCCCACACCCTCGCCCCTTCCCCGCCCAGCCTCCTCTGGGCTGAATGGCGAGTAACTTAGAATACCTCCTCCCGCCTGCGGGATCGGGCCGCTCGCTTCAGATCTGGGAGGCGACGGCTCTCCCAGTTCCGATCTGAGATAAACTCTGAGTGACACTAGAAATGGGGTCACGTTTTTCCTTCTTGAATCCTTTCTCAGCTGAAGACACACAGCTCAAGGAAACAAATTAGGTGTTGGTTTTGTTGCCTTGGGGATCTCGGGATATTTTCAAACAGTGAGCCATGACATCCCCATGTTTGGGATGTGGTGTGTGTTCCTGGAGAACCTTCCACACGTTGAGGGGAGAATCCCATCCCGGTCCCCGACTTGGCATCCCTGTTTTTTCCCTAAGACACTGTAGTTACTGTTGAATGGATTAAATGTGCATTTCTCTCACAGTTACTGTACCTCAGGAGATGTGGCCTCGCTTCCTGAATTTTCTGTGTGATAAATTGTCTTAGGTGTCAGAGTCTACTGTCGGAAAAATGTCCCCTCTGCCAGCTGATGCAGGGATAACGCTGAAACAGGCTGGCCGAAGTCACAGTGCAGCGCTCCTAGGACTGCCGTCAGGGAAGGTAACTTCCACCAGCTGGACTCTTGGGTTTGTCGTCTGTGAAAGGACGCGAAGGCCGGGCACCCAGGCCCACGTGTCTCCGCAGCGTCCCGGGGGGACCCTGCCTCCTTGAGGGATTCCCTCCTGGTAAAGCAGGGTTCCCCTCTCTTGCCGCAGTCTCCCTGGGGCCCTGAGGGCAGAGGGCCTGGCAGGGAGCTGGCCACGGGCGGGAGGGCCGTACACCTGGGTCTGGGCTGTATTTCCAGCGATCCAGCCGCGGGTCGGGGCCCAGGTGACCACAGCCGTGACGCTGTCTGGCTCATCCTTGTGTGTTCCTGCAGCCATCGCGTCCCCTTGTGGCTTGTGCCCTGGACTCTCTCCATGCACAGCTCACGCTGCTGTCTGGGGGCCTCCTGCGGGGTGTTATTTTATCTCGGCTGCATTTTCCTGGCTAAGGGCAGCCCCTCTTTAGTCCATCTTACCAGCAGCATATTTGCTACTTCAGTTCTGAGGCGTCGTCACACCTGGAGGCCAGCATCGGGTAATGGGGTGACTCGGGCAGGAAAGCCCCCGACTCCTGGGGTTGGCCTGGTGTCCTGCCCTCCTGCCCCAATGCCTCTACTGAGCAGAGAATATTTTATTCCTTGAAGGAGGGTCTGGGCTCTCCTAATCCAGGTGTTTATTAAAAGGAGGAAAGCTGTCTTTTTTGGGTCATTGGGGTGGGGAGTGTCCAAAGCTCCAGCGCTGTGTGGAGTTGCTGGTTTGCTTTGGGATGAAGCCTTCTCTTATATTCTGTATTGAACTGATTTAATCAATGCATGTGCAAGTGAAGAATTGGTGTGCTCACACCACAAAGCTATCAATTTTCGAATAAGGCAAAAGATAGAAAAAATTTCTGTTGCATGTTTTAAAATTCAGTTTTGAGCAATTTCTTTTGCCGTGATAGCAAATCTCTTCTAGACAATCAATGCTAACTTTCTTTGATTCCATGTGAACACGGGCTAGCATGTGGGAGACTAGATACACCAAGAATTCTGCTTTGCAGCGTGTGCAAAACAGGGCTAGAACAGCCTAGCATGAGGTTTTTGCCGATATTTTTGGATAATTATTGTCATTAATGCAAAAGTACTCCCACATTCATTTTCAGCCAATAAGCAGAGAGACAGAGAAAACTGACTCAGGAAAACCAATACCATGTGAAGATGGCGATAAAGCTCTTTCCAGAAATCTTCAAGACAGACATGCAAAGCCTCCTGGGAGGGAACAAGCCTCTGAAGAAAGGCCAGCCCTGTCTGAGGATGCAAAGGTAGCACTGGGGAGTAGTGAGAATTTGTACTGCTTATGCTGAAAGTCTAGGTTTAGATGGAATTCCACTATGTCTAAAAAGAATACTCAATTTATCATTCTAAATAGTTTAAATTTATTAAGAATAATTATATTTTCATATACTAATGAATATTATTTGACTTTAATGCTGAAAAAGTAAACGAATGGAGCTGATTATCATTTTCTCTGTTGTGCTCTGTATTTTCCTGCACCTAAACATGGCCCCTTGAATAACTGACTCAATGGACATGAGTTTGGGTGAACTCTGGGTGTGGGTGATGGACAGGGAGTCCTGGCGTGCTGCAGGCCATGGGGTTCCAAAGAGTCGGATACGACTGAGCGACTTAACTGAACTGAACTTACTGTATAGCAGACATTGAGAAACATTACAAACCAACTATACCTCAATAGAATACATTTTATTTTATTTTTTAAGCAGTTATTTATAGGCATGTGAGAACTAAGATAATTTACCCAAAGCAGCTATTTTTAAGTAAATTTACTCATTTTAATTGGAGGCTAATTACTTTACACCGTTGTAGTGGTTTTGCCATACATTGACATGAATCAGCCACGGGTGCACATGTGTCCCCCATCCTGAAGCCCCACCCTCCTCCCTCCCCATCCCATCCCTCTGGGTCTTCATCCCAGTGCACCGGCCCTGAGCACTCTGTCTCATGCGTCGAACCTGGACTGGCGATCTTCTTCATGTATGATAATACACATGTTTCAATGCCATTCTCCCAAATCATCCCACCCTTGCCCTCTCCTAGAGTCCAAAAAACTATTCTATATATCTGTGTCTATACATAGAATACAATTTTTTAAAAATAGCCCCTAAAAATAGAACTGTCATATGACTCAGCACTCCCACTCCTGGACACACATCCACAGAAAATCATAATTTGAAAAGGTACACACCCCAGTGTTCATAGCAGCACTGTTTACAACAGCCAAGACACGGAAGTAACCTAGATGTCCTTCAACAGAGGAAGGATAAAGACGATGTGGCACATACATACAGTAGAGCATCATTCAGCCATAAAACAAATGAAATAAGGCCATTTGCAGCAACATGGATATAACCAGAGATTATCCTACTAAGTAAAATCAGATGGAGAAAGACAAATACATATGATGATATCACTTACATGTAGAATCTAAATTATGATATAAATGAACTTACACTCGAAATAGAAATAGACCCACATACATAGAAAACAAACTTATACTTACCAAAGAGGAAAGGGTATGCAGAGGGATAAATTAGCATTAACATGCACACACTACTGCAGATAAAACGGATAAGGAACAAGGACCGGCTGCATAGTGCAGGGAACTCTGCTCCATATCTTGTAATAACCTATAAGGGAAAAGAGGCTGAAAAAGAATACAGATATTTAACTGAGTCACTTTACACCTGAAACTAACATAGCACTGTAAATCAACTCTACGTCAATAATGACAACAACAACAAAAATAATATGACAAAAAAAAAAAAGGTCCTTCTTGCAGGGCTGGGCTCAGGGCTGCCGGCAGAGTCCTCGGACGATTTGAAAACGCTGACAGCGGAAGGGTTTTCTGCCGCGTGTAGTTTGCGGCCCTGAGGGCTGCAGCTGAGCGGGCCTGTAGGCTCTGAGCCCGTCCTTGCCCCTAGGTGTTCCAACGATCACCCCAAAGTCTGCAGAAATGGAGCGGCAGGAGGTCCCCAGCACCAGCTGCTCTTGCAGTCGCCCCCCAGGACCACCGAGCCAAGGACGACCCGGGTGAGCCTCCTGGAGTGGGTTTTTCCTCGGCGTTGCTGTTGGCTCCCAGACGTCGGTTTCATTATCCTGTTAGCGTTTTATTATCCTGAAGATCTTCCCGGGGCGAGCGCCTGTGTTTCTCAGCAGGTCATCCACCCTGCTCTGACCCTCTTCTCCGGTTCCTTCGCTGGGCCCCCTCTGCCAGTCTTCCCCGCACACCTTGCTCTCCCCACACACGCAGAGCTGGTCCTGAGGGTGGGCGGTCCCGCCACCTGGATGGGACCGTCTCCACCCGGTTTCTGAGCTTGGGGCTCTCAGCATAGCTGAGCTGGGTGACTCTGGCTCCGGGTCCCAGCAGCAGGACCAGAGAGCCCCGAGCTCTGGACGTGTCGGGGAGCCCTTCCCGAGTCACCTTCAGACCCACATGCGGACCTGCCGCCCTAAAGCCCGCCTCTGTGCTGGCCAGAGCCCTGAGGGTGGGGCCTTTGTGTGGAGCATGAGCTGCGGGGGCCTCGGGCACCGAGAACTCAGCGGGACAATAAGGATCGCCTGGCTTCCGGAGACCTGACCCTCGCACTTAGCTGTCTGTCCCCCGCCAGTCCTCCTGGCAGGACCCCCGGCCTTGCTATCTCAGATCCCGCCCTCGGCCCAGGTGGATGCGGGCTCCTGCCCTGCGCTGGTCCTCTGGGTCTGCCCGGCGGTCTCCCCACAGCCCAGGCTGGCTATTCATCCCCCCAAAGGTCGATGCCAGTGGCCCCTCGCCCCCCAGAGGACCCTGCAGGACAGGCCTGACCCTGCTCCCCCAGCCTCAGTTTACCTGCTGGTGCTTCTTGCTGCTGACTTGCCGAGTAGGACAGCCCCCACCCCACCCCAGCTTCCACCTCCAGTCCTGTCTCCCCTGACGAGCGCGGTGCCTCCTTGGAGACACGTTCCCAGACTCCTGGGACCGAGGGGGCGCTCACCCCCGGCGACCTCTGCCCAGCAGACCTGCCACCGTGGGGTCAGGTTTTTCTCTCCTAGCACCCATCTGCCGGCTGGCTCACTCGCAGCTCCAAGGCAGACAACAGGTCTTTGGATTCCATCACCCGAGCCATCTTAATACGCGGAAAAGGGTGAACATATTCTTTAAATGGGCTTCTCAGGTGGCGCTAGTGGTAAAGAGCCTGCCTGCCAGTGCAGGAGAGGTAAGAGACATGGTGTCGATCCCTGGGTTGAGAAGATCCCCTGGAGGAGGAAATGGTAACCCACTCCAGTGTTCTTGCCTGGAGGATCCCATGGACAGAGGAGTCTGGTGGGCAGCAGTCCATAGGGTCTCAGAGTCGGACACGACTGAAGCGACTTAGCACACATATTCTTTAAACAGCTCATGCTTCCTGCATGATCAGCTGAACCCATGTCTGCATAATGGACCCTCTGTTTGCATGTTGATCTCATGAAGGAAAGAGAACGTGTTCACAGTCAGTTTACGTGGGACTTGGGACCCAGATGAGGATAATGTGGTTCTGAGACATGTGTGCACTGCTCTCTCAACCTCACGCGCTTGCTCCACAGACACACGCTCCTCGCCCTCCGGGAGGGACGCAGACAGGCCCCGCGCCCGGACCCCGACGGATGAGCCCACGTGTCCCTCGCCAGGCATCTGCGAGGAGCCACAGGTGGGTGGGGTGAGGGGGTGCAGCCCCCATCACTGGGAGGGACACCCCCTCTGTCTTCATGGGGAGAACAGAGAACAATGATGATTCCAGATGCCCCTCCCAACCTGCGGAAGGGCTGCAGCCTTACCAATAGGTTGAAACATTTGTTCTAGCTTTCTCTTGGATGCATTTAGCACGTTGTCAAAATAAGAGTGATAATTTTCCATCACTTGAGTTCTCAAATTAAGTTTTATATTATAATAGTTTTACTTATAATTTTTAACCATAGCTATTAATAGTAAAATCAAAGGCAAATATAGCGTAATTACCTCCAACTGCTAGCTCGCAATCTGCTTATTATATGCTGTATTTAAAACAAGAATAAGTAGTAGTATTCAGTTCAGTTCAGTTGCTCAGTCATGTCTGACTCTTTGCGACCCCATGGACTGAAGCACGCCAGGCCTCCTTGTCCATCACTAACTCCCGGAGCTTACTCAAACTCATGTCCATTGTGTTGGTAATGCCATCCAACCATCTCATCCTCTGTCATCGCCTTCTCCTCCCACCTTCAATCTTTTCCAGAATCAGGGTCTTTTCCAATAAGTTGGTTCTTCGAATCAGGTGGCCAAAGTATTGGAGTTTCAGCTTCAGCAATCAGTCCTTCCAATGAATATTCAGCATTGATTTCCTTTAGGATTGACAGATTGGATCTCCTTGCAGTCCAAGGTACTCTTAAGAGTCTTCTCCAACATGACAGTTCAAAAGCATCAATTCTTCGGCGCTCAGCTTTCTTCACAGTCCAACTCTCACATCCATACATGACCACTGGAAAAACCATAGCCTTGACTAGATGGACCTTTGTTGGCACTTAATGTCTCTGCTTTTTAATATGCTGTCTAGGTTGGTCATAGCTTTTCTTCCAAGGAGCAAGCATCTTTTAATTTCATGGCTGCAATCATCATCTGCAGTGATTTTGGAGCTAAAAAAAAAAAATAGTCTGTCACTGTTTCCTTTGTTTCTCCATCTATTTGCCATCAAGTGATGGGACCGGATGCCATGATCTTAGTTTTTTGAATGTGGAGTTTTAAGCAAACTTTTTCACTCTTCTCTTTCACTTTCATCAAAAGGCTCTTTAGTTCTTTGATTTCTGCCATAAGGGTGGTGTCATCTGCCTATCTGAGGCTATTGATATTTCTCCCGGAAATCTTGATTCCAGTTTGTGCTTCATCCAGCCCGACATTTCACATGATGTACCCTGAATATAACTTAAATAAGCAGGGTGACAATATACAGCCTTGATGTACTCCTTTCCCGATTTGGAACCATTATGTTGTTCCATATCCAGTTCTAATTGTTGCTTCTTGACCTACATACAGATTTCTCAGGAGGCAGGTCAGGTGTCTGTTATTCCCATCTCTTTAAGAATTTATAATTTTCTCCATGGAAGGAAATTTGGGCTTGAACGTATTTATGGTGTAAAAGTTGTTGTGGTTGTTTAGTCACTATGTCATGTCTGACTCTTTGTGACCCTCTGGACTGTAGCCCGCCAGGCTCCTCTCCATGGAATTCTCCAGGCAAGAATACTGGAGTGGGTTGCCATTTCCTCCTCCAGGGGATCTTCCCGACCCAGGGATCGAACCCACACTCCTGCATTGCAGGCAGATTCCTAACCATCTGAGCCACCAGGGGAACCCAACAACAGCAGCGCGGTGTAGAAGAAGGGAGCCGAGAGAGAACTTCCCTTCCCTCCTCTCGAGAACAGCCCACATTCTGTTCTGCCCTTTCTGACGTCGTATGTAAGGTGCTAAGAGGTGACACTTTTCTCTGGCTTTTACTTAGTTTGGACCCTTACTCACGGGTTCATCTCAACTCCTCAGAAGGAACCCCACCAGCTCTGGGTGGGGGCCAACGTCTCCATCAGGAGGTGCCTCATTACCTGCTGTCGGTCACTCGGTCATCCTGGCCCGGATCAGACAAACAGGGATGCTGGGGACATGCGCCTTCATAAAAGCCCAGAACACAGCCCTGGATAGGGTCCGGGGCTGGCCCACTGAGGTGTGGTGGCAGCGGTCCTAACCACGGTTTCCATGGAGACCTCAGATACTTTGATGCTCTTTGCACAGGATCTTCCTGTAGAACCAGAGTCGCCCCCACATGCATCTCAGCATGAGGACACCGAGATAAAACAGGAGGAGGAGGGGGAAGTCCAGCACCCCGAGGACAAGGTAGGCGGTGGTACGGCTGCCCATCTTCCCAGGCCAAGCTCCTAGGCTGACAGTCTGTCTCCAGTAAGCAAAGCCACGCGCTTCCCAGAGGAAAACAGATTTAAACATAATTTGTCTTGTATTGCCTGGAGTGTCTCCTTGCTCCACATTTCAACCCTTGAGAAGAGTCTCAGTTCCTGAAGGTCACATCCATGCAGAGGGCGCGGGTGGGGGGTGTGGGGGGCAGGGCTCTCAGGAAGTGGGTGGAACAGTATGGCCGCCGATGCAGCCCCAGACGTCCCGTGGGCTCTGACAAATATTCACTGATGCCCAAATGACCACCCAGATCTGCATTCAACTGACGGCATTTTGAGCTGGTCGTCGGCCTGTGGCAAGCTTGGAGTCTGGCTCATTCTTGCTTGTTGAGTTACCTCTGGCCTAAGTGAAGATGGACCCATGCTCTTTAGGGTCAGGAAGATCCCCTGGCGAAGGGAATAGCTATGTACTCCAGTATCATTGCCGGGAGAATTCTGTGGACAGAGGAGGCTGGTGGGCTGCAGTCCTTGGGGTCGCAAAGACATGGACATGACTGAGGGTCTAGGCCTGAGCACAAGCAGGACTGCACAGAACACAACTTCTCTTCCTTGTCTGGCCGGTGTGGGGCCAGGGTGATGGCGCAGCCTTGGCTCCGACCGCAAAGCGGAAGGCTACTGTGTTGGCCAGCAGAGTGTCCACCGTAATTTGTTTGATGGATTTTGCTCCGGGTATTTTCAGAAGCCAATGTTAGCTTTCATCTCCTCTGTATTTTCTCAGTTGAATTGCTGCTGTATTTCTGAGCTATGGTAGGAGTAATAAGGCCATAAATTAGCCATAACACATTTTATTAATTGGAAAATATGCACAAATATTAACTCCCAAAATTCTGGTATTATTTGTCAGTTTTCCCCTTTCTGTTCATTTTTATCATGAACAATGTTTTCAAGGGGAAGAAATAGATATCCTTTTCTAAATTTCTAGTTCAGCATGATGGATATGAAGCTATATAATATTTGCCAATGGTTAATTGAAATCAATAAACATTCTAGACAGAGTAGTGTATGCATCAACAAGATGGGGTAGAAACAAAAGAAAAATGTGAAAAGAATATGTTTAAACAGTAATTATTGTATTTACAAGGCCTAGGATTTCCAAATTTACCAAATTCAATGACTATGAAATAGCTAGTGTGTGCATGCACATGTGCACACGTGTGTTCAGTTGATCAGTCGTGTCTGAGTCTTTGCAACCCCATGGACTGTAGCCCACCAAGCTGCTCTGTCCATGGGATTCTCCAGGCAAGAATACTGGAGTGGGCTGCCATGCCCTCCTCCTGGGGATTTATCTAGACTGATAATAATTTGATAACCTAGGCACATTTACATAACATGGCCTTAAGGAAACCAGATATTTATAAGGTAAATCATATCATTTTTTACTCATAACCAAATTCAGGGTGGGGATTTGGCGCTGATCAATTTAGTGAGACTTTTCATGGAAATGTTAACAGTTGGTGTCTATGATGCCACCCAGGCAGTAGGCTTATAACAGTTCTGAACAGAAGGAAAGATCATGAAACCACAGCAGTGAGACTTTAAGTAATTTTCCATCTCAGAACCCTTGTGTTTCCGTCAAGGGGGGACAGGCACTCAGGGACACCTGTAAAATGGACACTTTCTCAAAAGGCACCGAGGAGGATGTGCGTGCTGAGAAGAAGGCCGCCGCCCCACGGCGTTCTAACCGGGACGTGTGGGAGAGTCCACCAGACACCAGACTGGTGTGCACAGCCACACGTCGGTCTTGAAAAAACCAGACCCCACCTGCTTATTAGGAAAGTTTCTGTTCATCGTCACTCTCTTCCTCGGGGACTCAAGGAGGAAGCTAGAAAGTGGGCAGGTGCCAGGCTTTCACTGGGAGGGCTCTTCTGCCTACCGGGTGCTCTTGGGCCGGTGAGATGCTCAAGTCAATGGGAAACTCGGGATTCCACACGAGAGAGGGAGTAGCCGCCAGCACCCTTCCAGCCGTGAGCTCTGACTCCATCATTCAGGCACTGGTCAGCCCTCTAAGCCTCTGTAACATGAGCATCACTTGCTGGATGGTGATGAAGAGCAAGTGACACAGGGCGTAACCTGTGTAGCAAACAGCTCCTGTGTTTACTAACCTGTGTTTGTAAACTCAGTAGTAAACACTTAGCGAAAGTGCCTTAATTATAGAATTAATGTCAGTACTGCAGCAGACTTAGGCAGAGAACTCAGTCCTAGTGTGAGCTGGAGGTCAAATGGAAGGGGATGTTTTCTCTTTTCTTCAGTTGGATGGCTTTTCACAGTCTGGTAGGAGAAGGAGACAGTCTTCCCAAAGCTGGTGCTTCCTGCTGGGTGTTAGGTGCTGGTCTCTGGGTGCTGGGTGCTGGGCACTGGGTGCTGGTCTCTGGGTGTTGGCCCTAAGTGATCAGTGTTGGTCTTTGGGTTCTAGGTTCTTGGTGTTGGGTGCTAGGTGCTGAGTGGAACAGGAAGCCTGGGCCTTGGAGCCGTAAGGTTCTGGGACAGTGACCTGAGATTTCTCCATGACCACGAGTGTGAACATGGGAAAAGAACTGATCTTCTGAGCCTCAGTTTCCGCATCTAAAAATCAGGGCACACTTGTTTAACAGATCAGCATTTCTCAACTGGCCCCTGGGAACATTTGCAAGGCTGGGAGACCCTCTTGGCTGTCATGACTGGAGTGGTGGGGGGCAGCTATTGGCGTCCAGAGGGTGGAGGCCATGGGCACGGGCAATGTCCTACAGCAGGTACAGGACGCCCCCTTGCATTCTAACACACACAACAAAGGACAATCTGGCCCAAGTTATCAGCTGGGCGCAGTCTGGGGAAATCCGCTACAGGTTATTAAACAGACTAAATTCACAGCAGGCTGGTATTGCTTGGTGCATATCGAGCACTCAGTCTCTGGTTATAACTGGTAGAGGCACGTGATGTGTTTGAGCGGAGCAGGGGTCAGTGTTGACCAAGACTCATGGGACAAACTGATGTCTGGGTTGTGTTAAATTATCATATTTGGGGGAAGAGATTCAGCACAATCTGGAGAATTTACAGGAACTTCTCCAAAAAGGCAATTGTCCAGATAATTTGGGATTTAACTTGGTTCTAACTAAGGAAACTTTGGTAATTTACAAATCATTCTTTGAGTAAGGCCTGGAGATGAGAGTAGGGTTGTAGTAGACTGATAATTGTCTTTTAGCACTTAAACACCACCAAACTGTGTTCTACACATTTCTTAAGCTTCCTTTAAATACTCAACTTGACTTCTTTATTTTGACCAGGCTTAGGGATTAAGAGGTCGTGCTCAGGGCCCTGGGAGCCGTGAAGGACTGCAGAGTGCATCTCTGCCGTTTCCCTCTTGTTTTATTGGTTTTAATTAGAGAGGTCAGCTGACGGCTCTGTGATTTCACTCCAGCTAAAGCCTCTGACACTTTCTGAGGGTGAACGTTGGAGTGCTAAACTATTTCCCTGCCAGGTGAGCTCTCATTGGTCTGAGTTAACCTACACGTCCCCTTTTACTTGCAAACCAAGGCAAACAGGAGAGTCTGGAAGAACCTGTTTGGAAGGTGGCCTCTCATTTTGTCACAGCTATGTGGTATTGATCTCATAACCTACCCAACCCTTCGCACTTTGAACTCTGAGTTTCCCTGAGTTGGGGTAATAGATAGTTGTTTCTTAGCCAGACTCAGGAGGGGGTGGAGACACAGAGACCAAGGATGGGTGTAGACGCTCGGTGTAGATGGTAGGTGTAGATGGTGAAGATGAGCCGCTGGATCGGCTTGCTGTGTGGTCATGGGGAAGTCACGGGGTGGGGGGAGGGGGAGGATGACCCCAGGGCCCCTGCTGGGCGAACACTGCGCTCTTCCTGCCTCCCTCCGGTCTCCAGGGAGACCCGGCCTCTGAAACTTGGTTGGACTTCATAATTACTGTGATGCTGGACAAATAAGCCTTCTCTCTGCTTCCGCTCACTTTGGGACAGACAATCCATGTAAGAAGACTCACTTCAAAACAAGAAAGCACCGCAGTCCCTCGAACCTCGGTAGCACAGTTTTCCAAATAATTCAACTTTACTTAAACAGTTCTCTCCACGGGTTCATTCTCTCAGCCTCTTTTCCTGACGAGCAGAGATGCTCAGAATGACCGGCACCAGCTGACCGGGCCAGACCCTCAGAGCTCGGAGTAGACCGAGATTTCTTCCTCCCAAGTTCTCACTTTGAAAACAAGCCCATCCATTAAACAGCCTTTTGTATCTGTAGCCTTCCTTTCTTTAACCTGCCCTCCCTGCTGCGTGGCTCAGGCACACCCAGCTTAGCCCAGGGACCCCCGAACAACAAGCCTCTCCCCGTCCTCTCCTGCACTTTCCCACCTGGTCCTCCTACACTTGATCAGAAGCCAAAGGAGTCCCCATAACTCAGAAGCTCACAGTCACGGGACCTGTTAAAAAGGCAGAGAGGTGCAGACAGATGCCCACAGAGGAGCGTGTGTGTTACCCGGAGCTGGGCGGTGAGCTTCTCCGTGGCAGGGATCACAGCCCACACTCACCGAGCTCGTCACGAAGTAGGGGGGATCTAGATGGCTACGGATCTCCCCAAGGCTGCCCAGCTTGGGCAGGTTCCAGGTTCCAGAGCCCGCCCGGGTGAAGGGCTGAGGGCCACCTCTGGGCCCACTGACCTCCCGGACTAACGAGGCAGCTCAGTTGCCTTCATTTGGGGGCTTTGATGTCCAGCTCCTCTTCCAAAGCCCTACTTCCCTTCCCACGCACAGCTCAGGCCTCCGCCTGCAGGAAGCGCTCCGCTCGATTCAGGGATTAAACCCAGGCTCAGAGTGACCCCCGGACAGCATCCCAATACAGGGGTTTCTGGTGCTTGCAGACACATTCTGCCGGGGCTCGGACAGCACATACGGCACATCGCCGGCCTCTGGAAGTCGGGCGCGTTCCCAACAAGCAGACAGGTGAGTGATGCCAGTGCACCTCTGGGGAGAGGTGCTGGCCGTGGGCAGGAGATGCCCAGGGCGCTGTCCGGAGAAAGGTTAATTCTACCAGCTGTGGGCACTTTTAGAGCAAATTCTCCATGCAGACGTCAGCCAGATGACTTGGCAATTAACTTACTTAATAAAAGCCCTTTTCATACTGTTCCTGGGGTTCACAAGGCAAGAATGCTGAAGTGGTTTGCCATCCCCTTCTCCAGTGGGCCACGTTTTGTCAGAACTCTCCTCCATGACCTGTCCATCTTGGGTGGCCCTACACGGCATGGCTCACAGTTTCATTGATTTAGGCAAGGCTGTGGTCCATGTGGTCAGTTTGGTTAGTTTTCTGTGATCGTGGTTTTCATTCTGTCTCCCTTCTGATGGATAAGCCTCAGAGCTTGTGGAAGCTTCCTGATGAGAGGGACTGGCTGTGGGGTGAACTGGGTCTTGCTCTGGTGAGTAAGACCATACTCAGTAAACCTTTATTCAATTTTCTGCTATTGGGTGGGGCTGTGTTCCCTCCCTGTAGTTTGGCCTGAGGTCAAATTATGGTGGGGTAGTGGCATCACAGACTCAGTGGACATGAATTTGAGGAAGCTCTGGGAGGGAGACGATGATGGACAGGGAAGCCTGGCGTGCTGCATTCCATGGGGTCACAAAGAGTCAGACACGACTGAGCGACTGAACAACAATAATAACAATGAAAACTGCCCCTTTCCTTATTCTTATCAGATGACTGTGAGCCCGCCTCTCCAGCCTGGCCCCTGGAGAGACGCCTGTGGACCTCGGTCAGTGGGCTTGCAGTCAGCTTTTCCGCCTGGTCCTGTCAAGCATCAGGGGCAAAGTCACCAGCCACAGGGCCTGATGCTTAGCTTTGCACCTTCATCCTCTTAAAAGGTCAAATTCTTTTCCCAAGTTTACATGGACTCTGGAATGCAAAACTCGGGTTAAAACCTGAGAAATCCGGCCTTGTGAATTTGCTTCACCTATGATCTAATTTTATCGTTCATTATTTTGAATCCCTATATTTTGCATATTAATGATTTGAATATCCTCAGAGGACCTGGCTCTCTAAATGGTACTAGCTAGTGGACAAACCTCCCATTTAGCATCATCTCCACCATCCGCAAGCTCCGGGAGATGGTAAAGGACAGGGAAGCCTGGCATGCTGCAGTCCACGGGGTCACAGAACGGGACGTGACTGAGTGATTAAACAACCACCATCAGCATTACAGCCAGAACTTTGAGAATTTTGCCTCTGGAGTGGATTTTTAAGAGAGTGTACAGATTGCATCCCCAAGGTCTTTCTTGCCGCCTATAGCTACTGAGGCTCTGTGTGAGATGGGCATTTCCATCTTCTTGAGTTGCTGCTCTTGCTGTTGAAGCTAACAAAGTCCTGATCCTGCGCTGAGCTTTGTAGATTTCCAAAAGATTGTCCCTGGGATGGCTTTACTGCAGCTGGTTAGCCTCCACCCCATTATGGGGCTGACTGTCTCCAGAGCCGTCATAGAAGGAGGGTCAGACTTGGGTCACCATCTTGGCTCCTTTGCATAGTGTCCCTTCCTGATCTGGGACCAATTTGAAAATAGATCCCCCTCTGGGTTGGACACTTCCCATGTGCCATCATTTTATATCCTTCCTGACCACTGTACATGGTTTCACAGCTGTCCTGAGAGAGGGTGGAATTATAACATGCTCTCTGTGGTCACCGGGACCGTAGGTCCAGTTTGTGAACACCCATCAACGTCCGCATTGAAGGACCAGGGTCCCTGATGAATGAGCCAGTGACGGCTTACCTGTTCAATTCAAGAGGTTCATTGCTTTGTCTTTATAATTTCCAACCAAAAAGTTATTTCCTATTTGTCAAGTGTTTCAAATCCTGTTGTTCCTTACACATAATTGGAGGTGGGTTAGCACTGCCCTCAGCTTTTCAAAACAAAGATGCTGAAATGATACCAAACCAAGGCGTCCTTCCCTCACTAAGACAGGAAACTCATCTCTCTGAGTTTGTAACCCAGAGAACCAAAACCACCATCAATCTAGGCTTGCTGACCATCATGCAAACCACGCCAGTGCATTCCCTTGTCTAGTTCTCTCACATTTAGGTGGCCACTCTTTTTCTCTCTATGAAATGTGACTAATCACCTCAGAAGGGTGTGTCAAGGACAGCTGGTTATGGGTATTGACTGGGGGCAGAGAACCTCGTGTTCTGTCAAGGATAGTAAGACAGGACAAAATATTTCTATTGGGTGTGTGTGATCCTGGACATGAATCTCAGTCTGAGACTTTTCCCTCTATTTTAGCTTTGCCGATTTAATTTTCTTTATAGAAGTATGACTCCTTTCTTCCGTACGACTCCTATTTAAATGTCCTGATTCTGTGTGAACTAGAGAGGAATGTGAGCTCTTTTGGGCACTGCATTCTGTATTTATCCATTAGAGCAAACTCTTTAACTGTTACTCAGCTCCTTTATTTTTTGTTTGCCCTAAATTAAAAAATATATATTTATTTTAATGTAAGTTTCCTATATGCTCTTTACCCAGATTCACCAAGTTTTAACCTGTTGCCACATCTGCTGTATCATTCTCTGGGTGCGTGTATGTATATATGCAAACATACACATCCATTGTTTATAGTTTCCGTTCCCCTTGGGGATAAGCTGCATATATTAAGATCAGTGCCCCTCTGACCATGAAGACTTCCATTCCTATGACCAGTCCTGTTGGGTTAGGGCTCACCCTGCTTCAGCATGACGTCATCTTGACTAATTTCATGTCCTAATAAGGCCATGCTCTGAGGCGCTGGGGCCAGGACATCAATACAGGAACTCTGGGGTGGGGGACAGATCAAGCCATAGCATGCCCCTTGGATTTCTTTTCATTTATTCTGCTTGGAATAAGCTGGGCCCCTTAGATCTGTGGAGCCACATTTTCGCATCCAGTCTGGGAAATTCAGTCATTATCTTTGATCATATCTGCATTCCTCCACATTCTTTCATTCTTCTTCTGGAATTCCGGTCCCATGCTTTTCCACATCTTTTCTCTCCCCTCGAACATTCTCCATCTGGCCTGACCCCTCAAGTCAACAGGAAACAGTGACAGTGAACTCTACCCTACTGAGGGTCCAAGGCCTTCAAAGGCCCACCTGCTGTGGGGTGAGTGATGACCTTGGGTCTGGAAAGGCAGGATTTAGGGAGCCAGAGAGCATATGGAAGGAAAGAAAAATTTTAATTAGGGAGATAATTTGAGTGAAGTTGGGAGGATATAAATTATGTATTTTAATGAGACCAGGGAGATGGGCCTGCCTGGAGCAAGATATGCAAATATAAATAAAATATGAGAGAGTAGGATACAAGAACATCTTGAATACTAGTCCTCTTGGAGCGGATCACTGTAAAATATGTTTATACAGCTAAATAATGCAACAAGTATTCTAGTTATGAAGATCTATTGACTTAACCTATATTCTTCAGAAAAAGTCTGCTCTGACGGCTCAAAGGAAATCATGTTTCCAGATGGGACGGTGTGGCGACTGAATGATGGACGCGAGGAGACTGTATTCCCGGATGGGACCATTGTGAGTGTGGAGAGGTTAGTACCGGGAGAGGTGGTGTCAATCTGAAGTCTCTGTAATTTGTGGTTTCTGCAGTTGTCAAGTCTCTGGATTAATTTAATTTTTGTAAAAGTTTCCGTATTTGTATAAATATAATAGAAAACGTCTTTGACCCTAGAGGTTTGGTCTTATGACCTTGATCTGATTGATTTCATAGCGAACATGGATCTAAAAACTCAGTTTTAAAAAATATTACTTTTTAATTGGAGGATAGTTGCTTTACAACACTGTGTAGGTTTCTGCCATACATCAACGTGAATTAGCCATATATATACACCATGTCCCTTGCCTCTTGAAGCTCCCTCCCACCTCCCACTCCATGAACACTCATTTTTAAGTGTTTCCTTCACTGACATTGGTCATGACTGAATTGCAGCCATAAAAATAGTCTCCGGCGTCTGGTGTGTGCCCACTGAGACCGTGTTGTGTAGCAGCCCGAGCCTGCAGCAGCTCACACATCAACAACTAAGATGGACGGGGAAGCCCTAACGGGGGACGAGCAGGGAGACCCTGCACCCCCTCCCCTGTGCCGACTCTCAGACCCTAGAGCTCCCCCCTCCCCACAGTGCAGGGGCCCTAGCTTTGGTGGGCTGCTGCCTCCGTGGGTCCGCTCTTCTGTCACGGAAGCCACAAGTGTCGCCATCACTGCCAGAGTCACTGTGCTTGAGTGAGTATACCAGGCTCCTGCCGCTCTCGAGTGATTCTACCTCAGGTCCCCGCCCCCCAAGTGATTCTACCTCAGGTCCCCGCCCCCCGGGTGATTCTACCTCAGGTCCCCGCCCCCCAAGTGATTCTACCTCAGTTCCCCGCTCCCCAAGTGATTCTACCTCACGTCCCCGCCCCCCGGGTGACTCTACCTCAGGTCCCCGCTCCCCAAGTGACTCTACCTCAGTTCCCCACCCCCCAAGTGATTCTACCTCAGGTCCCCGTACCCCAAGTGACTCTACCTCAGGTCCCTGCCCCCCAAGTGATTCTACCTCAGGTCCCCGCCCGCCGGGTGATTCTACCTCAGGTCCCCGTACCCCAAGTGATTCTACCTCAGGTCCCCGCCCCCCAAGTGACTCTACCTCAGTTCCCCACTCCCCAAGTGACTCTACCTCAGGTCCCCGCCCCCCGGGTGACTCTACCTCAGGTCCCCGCTCCCCAAGTGATTCTACCTCAGGTCCCCGCCCCCCGGGTGATTCTACCTCAGGTCCCCGCCCCCCAAGTGATTCTACCTCAGGTCCCCGCCCCCCGGGTGATTCTACCTCAGGTCCCCTCCCCCCAAGTGATTCTACCTCAGGTCCCCGTACCCCAAGTGATTCTACCTCAGGTCCCCGCCCCCCAAGTGATTCTACTTCAGGTCCCCGCCCCCCAAGTGATTCTACCTCAGGTCCCCGCCCCCCGGGTGATTCTACCTCAGGTCCCCGTACCCCAAGTGATTCTACCTCAGGTCCCCGTCCCCCAAGTGATTCTACCTCAGGTCCCCGCTCCCCAAGTGACTCTACCTCAGTTCCCCGCCCCCCGGGTGATTCTACCTCAGGTCCCCGCTCCCCAAGTGATTCTACCTCAGGTCCCCGCTCCCCAAGTGACTCTACCTCAGGTCCCCGTACCCCAAGTGATTCTACCTCAGGTCCCCGTCCCCCAAGTGATTCTACCTCAGGTCCCCGCTCCCCAAGTGACTCTACCTCAGTTCCCCGCCCCCCGGGTGATTCTACCTCAGGTCCCCGCTCCCCAAGTGATTCTACCTCAGGTCCCCGCTCCCCAAGTGACTCTACCTCAGTTCCCCACTCCCCAAGTGATTCTACCTCAGGTCCCCGCCCCCCGGGTGACTCTACCTCAGGTCCCCACCCCCCAGGTGATTCTATCTCAGTTCCCCTCCCCCCAAGTGATTCTACCTCAGGTCCCCGCCCCCCGGGTGATTCTACCTCAGGTCCCCGCTCCCCAAGTGATTCTACCTCAGGTCCCCGCTCCCCAAGTGACTCTACCTCAGGTCCCCGCTCCCCAAGTGACTCTACCTCAGGTCCCCGCCCCCCAAGTGATTCTACTTCAGGTCCCCGCCCCCCCGGGTGACTCTACCTCAGGTCCCCTCCCCCCAAGTGATTCTACCTCAGGTCCCCGTACCCCAAGTGACTCTACCTCAGGTCCCTGCCCCCCAAGTGATTCTACCTCAGGTCCCCGCCCGCCGGGTGATTCTACCTCAGGTCCCCATACCCCAAGTGATTCTACCTCAGGTCCCCGCCCCCCAAGTGATTCTACCTCAGGTCTCCGCTCCCCAAGTGACTCTACCTCAGGTCCCCGCCCCCCGGGTGATTCTACCTCAGTTCCCCGCTCCCCAAGTGATTCTACCTCAGGTCCCCGCCCCCCGGGTGACTCTACCTCAGGTCCCCGCTCCCCAAGTGACTCTACCTCAGTTCCCCACTCCCCAAGTGACTCTACCTCAGGTCCCCGCCCCCCGGGTGATTCTACCTCAGTTCCCCGCTCCCCAAGTGATTCTACCTCAGGTCCCCGCCCCCCGGGTGATTCTACCTCAGGTCCCCGCCCCCCGGGTGATTCTACCTCAGGTCCCCGCCCCCCAAGTGATTCTACCTCAGGTCCCCGCCCCCCTGGTGATTCTACCTCAGGTCCCTGCCCCCCGGGTGGAGCCCAGCAGTCTCTCCTTCCTCCCTCAGAACTACCTTCGGGTGCCCCGTGAGTGACTCTCCCCGAACAGGCCTGCGAGCCCGGCCTCTCTCCTGAGCTCTCCCCAGGGCCGCCCTGAGCCCTGCCCAGCTCCTGTCTATACCCTGACACTGCAGGTGCCTTCGCTGCTCCTGCCCTGGCAGTATCTGTACCCTTATCTACCAAGATCTGGGGTTCAGTTGTGCAGACCTGGATGGCCACATCTCTTGGCCCCCACGGGTTCCCCATGGGATGTGCTGGCCACTGACAAGGTTGTTCTCTCCACCAGGAATGGTGACAAGACCATTGTGCTCAGCAACGGTCAGCGGGAGATCCACACGGCCCAGTTCAAGAGGAGGGAGTACCCTGATGGCACCACCAAGACTGTGTACCGTGACGGCCACCAGGAGACCAAGGACGTGTGTGGGAGGGTCAAGGTCAGGGATGAGGCTGGAAACATCATACTGGACAGGAAGTAGCTTCTCCCTCAAAACTAGCCTTACCTGTGCCCTTCCAATATCACCTTGACCTTCCAGCCTTACCTGTGCCCTTCCAACATTACCTGTGAACTTCCAACATTACTGTGACCTTCCAATCTTACCCGTGCCCTTCCAACATTACCCATGACCTTCCAACATCACCTTGATCTTCCAACATTACCTGTGAACTTCCAACATTACCTGTGACCTTCCAACTTATGTGTAACCTTCCAACTACAGTATTTGCTAAAAAAAGAAACGACTAATATTTGTGGCCCTATATGATGAAAAGTCATGTAAAACTTGAGGACTACCCAAGTCATCCAGACATTATAAAGGAAGAGACAGCCTGGTCCCCAGGGCTCCTGGTTAGGAAAGGTGGCTGCATCAACACTAGATCAGCCAGAGAACAGGAAGCTCCCAGACCCTGACACCAGGGCCAGACCTCTTCCTCTCTGACCGTCACAAGAACCAGCTCTACACGTGACAGGCAGCCTTCCCTGGGCCCTGGGCGCCTCTACCTCTGCCTGCAGCTGGCCCCGGCCCTCTCCTCCTGAATTACACCAGCTTAGCCTGACCATCGCTTCCATTATCCTCAGGGCACCAGTGCCCATGACCTTGCTGGGCCACATAAGAAGACAGTTCATGCCACTACAGGAGCACCCACAGGGAGCCTGACCCAGGCTGAGTGACCTGGCCTCATGCCCATGGCTGTGCGGGTGGTAAGCCACCGCCTGAAACTCTGCGTTGTTAACTCTCGCAGTCAAGGCAATGACAGTTGCCTCTTTTATTGTTTTGTAGGCAGCCTAGAAAATAAGACACAAACTGGCATTTAACTGATTTTTATACTAAAATAGCCCCAAAATACAAGAAAGGAATAATTTCCTGAAAAATCTTATGACGAGATGTTTGTATGTGCTCATGTCTTCATGCGACAGAAGTGAAGTATCATCTGTTAGTGAGTGTGATCATTTCAGTCCTTAAGTCTATGGTGCACACACCATGGTCGCCTCCGTGGTTGGGTGAGGCTTTTTGAAGTAACTCAAGAGTAATGTGTGGTCTTGGCTTTGACTTGAAAATCGAAGCATTCTATTGCAATCACACTGGATGGGGTCTTTTCTGCCCAGGAGGCAGCTACCACAGGGTGAGGTCATTTGTCAGATGTAACAGACAAAACCAACCCACTGCTGAAAAGCCAAAAATAGAAAAGAGTGAAAGGTGAAAGTGTAAATTGTTCAGTCATGTCCTACTCCTTGTGACCCCACGGACAGGCCCCCCAGGCTCCTCTGTCCATGGGATTCTCCAGGCAAGAATACTGAAGTGAGCTGCCATTCCCAGGGGATCGTCCCAACCCAGGGATTGAACCCAGGTCTCCTGCACTTAGGCAGATTCTTTACCTTCTGACCACCACCAGGGAAAAGCCAGAAATGGACTCGCTCATTGCTTTGACTATTTTGAGTTGGCTTACCCTGGAAAATTTCATTAAAGCAAACAAAGCGAAATACCGCTCTACCAAGTTAAAGGACTTCTAGCTGTTTGGGGGAGATCAGGGGAAGAAAGTAACACACAATTTTGTGGGTAAACTGTGTTCAAACAGCAGATAATATGCCTGATGGGCAGTCTGCATGAACTCTAGCCTGCAGAATGCTCCTCAGCAGCCACACACGTGAGGTCGTGGGTCAGAATAAGACAGGTCACCCGGAAGGCCCGTGTGTGCTGTGTGTTCTGGTATGCTGCATATCAGAACAAGCTTATAAAAACATTTCATTCTGATTCCCAAAATCTAGAACGTACTTTTAAAATCTGGGCTTCCCTAGTGGCTCAATGTCTGCCTGTTGAGACTTGGGTTCCATTCCTGGGTCAGGAAGATCCCCTGGAGAAGGAAATGACTACCCACTCCAGTATTCTTGCCTGGAGAATTCCATGCACAGAGGAGCCCGGTGAGTCATAGCTTCGCAAAGAGTCGGACATGACTGAAGCGACTTAGCATGCATGCACGCATAGATCCATGACCTGCAGCAGTCTGCAGCACGCTGAGTTATTGGAAGGGCCTCGACAGCCTCAGAGGACAGGGAAGATGGGCATGTGGGGAAAACACGAGGAGCCAGCCACGGGCTCCAGAGGTGGGGCTTGAAGGAGGAGCCGGGCTTCCCCGCCCAGGCCGGTCCTCTGTGGTCCTGGGAAAGGCAGCCCACTAGTCTCCTACTCATCCTGCCTGAACGTGTGGCCTGCACATCGAGGAGTGTGGTGAGGGTGGGGACAAGGGTCAGCAGCAGACCCGCCCCCTCCATGGGTAACCAGGGAGGGGGCTGCCTCAGGAACGCAGGCTTCCCCAAGTCCCGTCTTCCATGTGGAGCGCCCAGAGGCTCCACGTGTCCCTCAAGGAAAAGGTGCGTATTCAGAGCGAGGCCCTGGGCTTCCCGAGACCCTGGACCAGCTGCTCCTCCTGGCTCCCTCCCTCCTCGCTCACCGCAGCCTACCCTGAGCACCCCGCACGCCACCCAGTGACAGTCCCCTCCCTCGGGACCTGCCGCATCTTCACCCGGGTCACCTCTGCTGTCCTTCCGAGCCCAGCGCGGCCGCCCTGGGCCTGGAAGGACTCCTGGGTCCGCCCTCCACGTCCACAGAGGGCGGAGCCCTGCGGGGAACAAGGAGCCCCGCCCCTCTGCCCGAGGCCTCTCCCCACACTAATGAGAACCCACAGGTGTCCCTGCCCTGAGGCCAGGCGAGTCCGTGTTACTTACACGGCCCAATACACCGTCCTGCTGCGGTCCCTCCATGGATTCCAGGGAAGGGTGGAGGGCTGATGACGGGCACTTCAACTGTTTCCTGTTCGGCCGGGACATCAGCTTCTCCTATCTCAGGAGGGGGCCGCGGGGCGGGGTGGCTCAGCTAACACCTCCCGGACTGGTCCTCCCCTAGGGAAGCTGAGAAGCCCAGCCCAGCATCCTTCCCCGCCTCCACGGCCACTGTGTCAGCAGCCAGCCTGCAGGTGGACGGTGGGCTGGGAACAAGGAAGAGGTGAGGTGTGAGGAGACGGGCTGGCAAAGGGCGTGGCCGCGGGGACAGCAGTGGTCAACCACGTCCCGGGCCTGGGGCCCTGACCCCTGGGCCCCCACGGCCAACCCACCTGTGGTCCAGAGGCGGCGGGAGCGTGCCTGCAGAGGTGATGCGGGATCTGTCCACTCTGCTCGGGGAAGTCCGGCAGGTGGGCCTCCCACGCAGCCCAGAGTGACCTCTGTGTCACGGGAACAAACCCCTTCGTTCCTCATTCCTTCTAGAAGATTCTGATCCTGATTTCCTGTTCCCTCTCTGCTGGTTCCCTTTAAGCCCAAGTCAATCCAATTTTGAAACGAAAGAAGAACCTTCCCTTTCAGCTGTAAGACACGTCCAGGCCCTGGAGGGCTCTCAGAACCAAAGATCCCAGTCCGTTTCCTGGACTCTGTAACTGGCAGTTTTTGCAATTGCTCGGTCACCAGTCCCCGGGTTGCAGAGCAGGCCTGGGGCTCCTCGGTCCACGTCCACTTCCCTCTCTGGGCTGCCTGCTCCTTTGAAGTGTTGTTTTGAGGGGATGAGGCCAAAAAGAACTCCCGACATCCCCCCCGGGTTTCCTGGGTCCTTGGTGGGCTGCCTCCTTCCCACCTTTCAGGGGCTTCCCTGCCCAATGTACACGCTCTGCTCAAGGTTTGCAGATGTCCCTCGTGGAGGAACAGGGAAATGCACGCCTCCTCCCCTCCTTGGGGAGTAGAGGCCCAAGTATTTCTAGAGAACTCCTCGGTTTCCCAACTTGGGGCTTTGCTGTTCCACTTCAGCAAGATGCTGTCTGGGCTCTTTCCTCCACATGCCCCACCCCCAACCCCACCCCACATTGGTACTCCTGATGCTAATTCTAGGAAATTAGCAAAAACGTTTCCTATCTCTTTTGAAATTCTTAGTCCATTATTATTTCAGTTTAATTGGCCTACCCTTTACTATAAGACAGGTACAGCCCAGGTTTTGGATTTTTGGATGCCCCAAGGCTATTCTAGCCCGAAAAACTCCAAATGCACAAACAAGAGCATCTTTCCTTAATAACACATGCTCTGCTCACCTGTGTAAGATTCACGTTCACATCTAAAGAATCGTTAAAACCTGGCTTGTAATAAAGAAGCCAGCATTTCAAACACTGAGGGAGACTGAGATCTCATCTCTGGTTCTTGAGTGATGGATGTTGCATGCTTTGGTCTCATCAGATGACCTGGACATTTGTGGAAAAGGCTCCTGTCTTTATTTGCCAGATGTTATGTAGGAGCCTGGCTGAGGAATGCTAAGTCACTTCAGTCGTGTCTGACTCTGTGACCCTATGGACTGTAGCCCGCCAGGCTCCTCTGTCCATGGGATTCTCTAGGCAAGAATACTGGAGTGGGTAGCCATTCCCTTCTCCAGGGGATCTTCTTGACTCAGGGATTGAACCCTTGTCTCTCATATCTCCTGCATTGGTGGGGTGGGGGTGGGGGTGGGGGGAGGAGGGGGTGTTCTTTACCACCTGGGAAGCCTGACTGACAGGTAAGCTCAAAACCACCTTGATGCACTTATCTTCTTGACTCCTTCCAATCTTTTCTGGAACAAGGAGGGGAGCAATAAAGGTACAGATGCCTGAAAACAGGCAACAAATAAGAGATGCATTGCAGTGTCGGGACTAAACCTGCTGTAAAATTTCCCCTTCCTTTTTTCTCCTCTGAACCATCTAGGTCAAGTACTAAAATGTTATTGGTCATTTCAGAAGCCCCTCCATGTGCACCCAAGACAGGAAGTAATCATTATCTTGAAATGGATATTACTCACTTCCTTTTTATTTAAGCCCAGCTGCAAGGCATGTGGAATCTTAGTTTCCTGACCAGATATCGAATCTGTGTCCCCTGCACTGGAAGTGTGGAGTCTTAATTGCTGGCCTGCCAGGATAGTCCCAAGTCCTTACTTCCTTGCATTTGGCTATTTATACTTGCATCACGTGCTATGCA